GTCGACATGCAAATGCCAGAAGTCTCCATCAAGTAGAGCAGGTGCGGCTGAAGTGTGCTCAGCTACCTTCGGGGCGTCATTGGGCCGCCCTGTTACGTTGTCAAGGCTAGGCATGAAGGCGCGGTAGGGAGCCATGGAACTGGGGCTATGTGACATGTGGCAGGAGATGCTCAACTGCCAGTATTTGGCCACTCTAGAGCTGAATAAGGGAGCAAGGGTCGATAGGGCCGTATGACGCGCATCAGGAGGTAGTGCTCAACTGCCAATACATGTTGCTCTTATGTAGAATCTTATGGGGCGACGAGGATAAAACTTACTTCTAAGTGTTCCTTCCATTGTTCGTCTGCCCTTGGCGTGTCTTTTGGGCTGAGTTGTTGCGATCGTCAGAAAACTTTGCATCCGCCAAGGTCTACGCCTTTATTGTCGCGCGTTTGGATTCAGCGGAATAATACGACATGATGATAACTGCGTGCGTTTGAAGGTAAAACTTGAGCTTTCAGGTTACAAAAACTATTTCCAAAGTTAACTTTTGAATTTCTAATAGCATCGATGAGAGCTTTTGAACTGTAGAATACAGTACATAATACAGGTAGTCGGGCCCCTAACTCTTCTCGCATGATTATAGAGCTTATTACTGCTCTAGATACCATCAAACACATGAATAAGTCATCCACTGCTTCCGGTTTGGATAGTAAGGAGGTGACGTCGGGTACTTCTTCAAGTCTTTGAATGTGCATTGGCGAGCCTCGTCCCAAAGTGCATGCTTCTCTGCCAGAGCGAAAGAGTCTACCAGAGTTAGATTTTCTTTCATGATCAATTTTTCGAATAGTGGGTGGTCTACTAGAAGGCCTTTTTGGAAGGCTGCCCTAGCTATTAAGTCATTGCATCCGACTATCCTTGCCTTCTCTGCTTTAAATCTCCTCACATAGTCACGAAGTGACTCTTTTGGGTTCTTTTTAAAGTCAAACAAATAGTCGAACTTCTTTTTTATCGAGCAATAGGATGAATATTCTTTGGTGAAAACCAAAGAAAGTTCGTAGAAATTCCGAATGGATTGTGGCGGTAGGGTGTAGAACCAATCTTGCGCCTGCCTTGTAGAGTGGTGGCGAATATCTTGCACATGAGATCATCATTGTTTCGATAAAGGATCATTGCACTTCGGTAGTGTTTTAAGTCTCTCCGGGTCTTCATCCCTTTTGAAAGATGTGAAATGTGGCATGCTGAACTTGCGTGAAGGCTCTGCCTGCTCGATCTCGTCCGTGAAGGGTGACCTGCTTATGTTGGTCATGTTCCGTCGTAGTGCCTCGTCGGTGACCTCGTTGCATTGGAAATCGTGCAATTGCTTGGTCAAGAGTCTCTCTACTTCTTCCTGAATTTGTCTTTGTTGGGGTAGCAGAGCTCTCGGCTGCCCCCAGCCATGACTTGCTGGTCTAGGCTACTCTTCCATGTGTTTGGCTCATCTATGCCGCGGATGCAGTGCATGTGGTGCATTCCTAGCAGGCGAGTGAGTTCTTCGCAAGCTGCTGGTTGAAATTGAGCTGGATTGAGTGACTGCTTATCTCCGTCCATCGTGCTGCCTACTCCGATGTGAGGTGGAGGATGCTCCTTGCGGGCTTAGCCGCGAATGAACACTTTGCCCAGAAGGTTGCTCATGTTGACTATCGGAGTGTGACCCCAACCATGAATGTATGCTCATCCGTGGGCCTAGTCGAGAGTGCACGCTCCTCCGCATGCTAAGACGGGAGTATACAATATCTCGGGGGCCTAATCAGGAATGTACACTGCCCGAACGCTCAGTTCGTGGCTGGTCGAGTGGCTACCTTTGTCTGCCCTTGTCATACTTCAGGATACCTCGTCCGGGGCACGTTGGATCCCGGTGCATTGCAAAAGTTGATTCACCAAGGTTGTCTGTTGTGCAAGGGCGCTCGTCAACTCTATGACTTGTCGAGACAAGTGTTATTCACCATTTGGATTGGAAGAGCTTGGAAGGAATGTGCCTCCTTGGGTAGTGGAAGGGTGGTAGACTCCGAGCATGAGATTTGAGTTGGGAAATGTCAAATCCGCAAAAAAATGTGGTGAGAATGCCCCCGGCTCAATGGTAGGTCCGGATGGTTAAGATAGTCTTGGGCTGACTTGGGCTGCTTGGAAAGCCACAGGAACAGGCTGGGCCACGAGAACAGGCTGGGCCGTGAGAGTGGGCTGCTCGACGGGAGCAGGCTGGGCCACAGGAGTAAGCTGCTCATCGGGAGCAGGTTGCTCGGCATAAGCAGGCTGGGCCACGGGAATGGGCTGCTCGACGGAAGCAGGCTGCTCAGTAGTGATGCATGGGAATGCGAGGCTTGGGCTCGAGCCCGTGCAAACTTGGATGGCACGGCTTGGGCCATGGTGGAACCTTGTAGTGGTGGTACCACTCCGCCTATGACCATATTTAGTCTCGTGGATCGTCGCGGTCCCATTTCTTGAGTATTAGAATTTTCACTTGTGGAATTTTCTAAATTTCTAGCCATTATATTTTTCTTATACATTTTATCAAAGAACCTTTGCAAATAAAAAATTCTAATAATAATCACGTATGAAAAAATATTCAAATGGACTAGAAAATAGAGAAAAACCTTTTTATGCGAGAGTCTTCTACGAGTATGGATCTCAACTCTCAATGAAAGCACCAATTTGTGGATGCAAATTTCTTCCTCCTTGATCTTGGACAATTTTGCACCTACAAAACAATTAACACCTTAGGTTAAGGCCAAGAGCCTCACGCGCCCACGATGAATGGGGGAGCTTGGCCAAAGAACCTTCGATGCCAAAGTTAGAATTTAGAGAGAAATAGTGTTTAGAGAATTTTGGGATTTTTGCCAAAATGTTGGAATGAATTTTTGGTGAAAATAGGAGCCTATTTATAGGATTAGGCTTGTCTCTTTTCCCTCAAGGTGTGGCCGGCCTTGAAGGGATTTTATGGTTATGATTTTGGTTTAATTAGTCAATTTATTGGCTAATTAAACCCTAGAGAATAAATTGGTGGTTACAAAATTGATTATTTGTATAAATGGGGTAATAAATTGGAGAAAAATGAAAAAGGTTAGAAAGAAAGGGAGGTGGCCGGCCATTGCCTATTTTTAGGGTTGAATGGATATATTTTGGTGGTTAATTTGGATGATTTAATTGATATTTAATGGATTAATTGGGTAATTAATCCATTAATTAACCAATTAACATTATTTTGGAGGTTACCTTGCTAAAAGGGATTTGATTAGATAGACTTTGAATTGTTTACCTCTTTTTTGGAGCATTTTTACTTGCTTGAGGATGATTGCTTGAGGATGATTGCCCGCTGCTCACGCGTAAGAATCCCAGTATGCCTCAAGGGTATTTTTGTCCTCTTTTGTCCAAAAATTCACGTATCGCCTAGTGAATATTTTTGGCTCCACAACTTTAACTCACAATGACTTTCCTTCTTACTAGGAAGGTGGGAAGGATTGTCTTACTCAGATGCCAAAATTCTGATTGATGATTAATTAGCTGTATTTAACATGCCCTAATCCAAATCATGATTGAAGCAAAGCACATGTCCGTTAATGGTAAGCACAAGTTACACAACCAATAAAGAATGCTTGGAATGTATCAATATGTTTCAATTACTACAGAATCAAGGATCTCCATCTTCACAAACTCAATTTGCACTCTCGAAAAATAAGGAGAAACAAGAAAAACGAAAATCTGTTTCGTTCGAAACACTCACAAGCTCAGAAAAAAGCTAAACTGTTCGTTACTCGTATGCCAAGGTTTTCCCATTTTTCGAGGTGATTTTTTGAATTTTTTTTTATCAATTTCTTGTTGTAAGAATTCGGAATTCTGTGAGTTGAAGCGGTATGTCTGGTTGCAGCTGAGAAGTGAGGGTTCAAAGGAGAATGGAGAAGGTTTTGGAAGAGGCAGAGAGGAAGAGGAACACACCGGTGGAGATTGGCATTAATGGTGGAAATGGCGGTAAGGATGTCTATTTATTAAGCTCTGCTGCTCTGATAACAAAGATCAAAATCATACAACGTCAAATGGACAGTAAAAAAAGGAACACAATTTCACTTCTTTATGGGCGTTTCAGCGAAACATAGATAGAAAGAATCAGGATCGAAGGAAGCTAACTATCACACGGAGAATCGAAATAGGATCCAATTCAAGATGGAAAGAGGACGACTTTGTTTCTTTTTCAGGAAGAAATAACATACCAGACAATCTTTCTTGATATTTCTTCTGTTCTCTGGCCCCTCTCTATTTGTTCCCATCCAAATGGACTTAAACCAACCAATCCATCCAATGAATGAATTGAAGATATGAAGCTGTAAGACCAAACAATTCTGTGTAGCAGCTTTTTAAGCTCTAATCGACAATTTGAAGATCGTCACACTTAGTGAGTACTATGCAATCATAAACTTTAGGTAAGTATGAAGTGATCACTCATGTGCAACCATTCAATTTTTCGGGAACAAAAGCGATAAACCACATAAAAAGATGGGTTTAGGGTGTGCGACTCATGTACATAATAGTATATTCCTACAGAAAATCTAAACCCCTATCATAGATGGAAATAAGAATGAAAAGAAAACAAATCACTAGTGTGGAATCAAGTAGAGTAGAATTTCAGTAATACTTAGGGCCAGTTTGATAACTATTTCGTGCTTAGGTTTTGGTTTTCACTATTTGTGCTTGAGATACGAAAAAGTATGTGGAAAAAAGGAGATGAAGAAGGGTGATGGAGAGAGGGGAAGAAATAAGGAAGAACGAATGAAAACAAAATCTTGAAAGTGAAACCAACTTAAAATATTTTTTGGTTTTCAGTTTTCATGTTGTGTTCCTTTCCTTCAACATTTCTTCTACATCTCTCCCACCTTCCTTCATCCGCTCTTCTGTCATCCTTCATTTCCTTACATATTTCCTCACTATCACAAAAACAAGAATTTAAAACCAACAAATGAAAACGAAATGGTTATCAAACGGAAAAGGCATTGGAATTGAAAGCAGTGCAGGGTGCAGGCACACACACACACATTTATGAACTGAAAGCAAACAATGAAACAAACCTGCGAGTAATGCAGGTGCTTAAATTAACAGCAGTGAATGAGGGAATTGTGCATACATGAACTTGTGCTTACAGCAATTTTTCTGCCATCATTTTCCCTCAAATTGAAAGCCAAGTTCCTGAAGACTTAATTTCCCTCAAAAGATATCCAAAAGTTGAGGCACGCTTTCTTGATAGCGAGTCACAAACTTACTTATAAAGCGACTATCAACGGTAATCAACAATGATGATATGGAATACTTTTTCTTCAGCAAGCCCTTCACCAACAAGACTCTAATGATAGAACACCTTGGAATGACCCTCCGCTCCAGACTAAGCGACAGAAAGTCGGGATATCTGGCGAGATATGCAAGCTGCCAACCCTTCTTGTTTACAAGAAAATCCATTTTACTTCTTATATTCTTCTCTGACAGATACATACAAGTGGGTTTCTTTCTAAAAGCCAACATGATCTCCTCTTCGATCCAGCCACAGCTCTTGTAAACCTCCAATTTGTGCACCCATGTCGATTTGGTGATTGTTGCAATCACGTGGAGTCCATTAACAAATGCTAACGTCTTAGGCTTGAATCCCATACCGACGACCTTCTCCACATCTTTGTTAAAGTCATCAGGTTTTTGACACACGACTCCGAGGTAACAGCTCAGTAATACAGAAATAGAGGGTTACGGCACTTCAAGTGCTCTCAGAACTGAGAGATTTTGAGCAATATTACTTTGCACCCTATCACTCAAAACTCCCCACGAGCGTGTTATAAGGTTCATAACTTTTTCATCACTGAGGAGTTCTTTTTTGAAGAGATTAAAACCAGGAACTAGAGCATTCTTCAAGCTGGCAGTCAAGAAAATAGGGTTCCTACAGATGGCAAGAGCAATGCTCGCGCCTGAAAGGCCTAGAGAACGCAAAAACTCAAGTTTTGGCAAAAGGATCTTCTCATGGTCGGCTAAAAGCAGCCTTGGGACTTTACTAACAAGTTTGGAGATTTCGGAATTAGCGAATCCATGGTCTCTGAGAAGACCAAGGACAGAATATGGTCTCTCTGTGGTTTCGAAGCTTACTTTCTCAGACAATGTGAGAGCCTTTTCTGCGGAAAATCCACATGAATTAACGAGATATAACACTGTAATAGAGCCTTCACATTCTTGTGCTTCATCTAATCCAGATTCTAACAACGGTTCTGATGATAATGATCTGCTAAAATGTGGTGGACTATGAAGAAAAACAAACAACAACACCAAAAGGTAATTCAGAACTCACACATTTCTGCAATTTAAGACGACGAATTCTAGGGTTTTACATTAGAAACCAATCATTCAATCATAACCACAGGAAGCAATGAAAAGCAAAAGTTGCGGTGGGAATTGAAACTTACTGGAGAGAAGTAGCATAACGAACCTCCTGCCAAGCTCTTACAAAATTTGATGCTTCTGAAGCTGCAGCTGCAATTTTACTCATTCTTCAATACTTCCCAACGGCAGTCTCCTCACCGTTACTCCTGCTACTACAACTTCATTAGGGTGTTTGCGCTGCAAACCAAGAAGAAGTAGATCATAGACAGAGATTTTAGAGAGAGAAGTCAAGAGAGAAATGTATAGAGAGAGAAAGATATTTCTTATTTCTTTGCTTAATATCTAAGATATTACACTAGGAGAGTATTTATCCTTGAACCTTCTTATAGTTGCATATTTTTAACAACTATAACTAACTCTCTTAATATGATTACAAGTGTTACAATCCTATTTGTACATTATCTCTATCATCCCCCCCCCCCCCTCAAACTCATGGATGGGAGAATAACCAAGCATGAGGTTGCTACAATGAGTTCGAAAGAGTGGTGCACTAGACCTTTGGTAAGGATGTCTGCAAACTACTCTCGAGAAGATACAAACTGCACGAGTAACTTCTTTTTAGCAACCCTTTCACAAACAAAATGACATCTACTTCAATATGTTTGGTCTTTTGATGTTGAACCGAATTAAACGAAAGAGCAATTGCAAACAAGTTATCACAGAAAAGCACATGAGCACAAGACATTTGAATTTTCAGGAATGTAAGAAGTTGTTGAATCCAATCAAGTTCAGCAGTAGTAGAGGACATGGCTTGATATTCTGCTTCAGTGGACGATCGAGGGACTGTTTGTTGTTTCTTAGAAGATCATGAGATTGGATTTGATCCCAAGAAAACAATTAACCCGGTTGTAGATCGTCTGTCATTAGGATCACCGGCCCAGTCGGCATCACTAAAAGCTTTTAAACCAACTTCACCAGCAGCATAAGTAATACCATAAGACAATGTTCCTTTCAAATAACGCAGAATGCGTTTGACAGCAGTGTAGTGAGAGACCATAGATTGTTGCATAAATTGGGACACTTGATTTACTGAGAATGCAATGTCTAGGCAAGTGAAAGTTAGGTAATGCAGAGCACCAACTATACTTCTATATGTACCAGTGTCTGAAAATGGAACCCTATAATCCTTCAACAATCGATTATAAGGTAAACATGGAGTGTCACAAGGTTTGCAATCACTCATTTCTGTCTTGTGCAACAAGTCTTAAATGTACTTGGTCTGTGATAAAAACAACCCATTGGTTGTGCAAGATATTTGAATGCCCAAAAAATAATGAAGTGTACCCAAATCCTTGATATCAAACTCAGTAGCAAGAGAATGAATTACTTGTTTTATAGCAACTGTAGCATTCCCAATTAAGATTATGTCATCAACATAAAGGAGTAAGATCATTATCTCAAAACCAACATGTTTCACAAATAGAGATGAATCTGAATATGTTGTGTGGAACCCGAGAGAAGGAAGGAATGCTGTGAATCTCTCATTCCAAGCCCTTAGGGCTTGCTTCAAACCATACAAAGATTTATGTAACTTGTAAACAAAATGAGGATGCACAGGGTCTGCAAATCCAGGTGGTTGCGCCATGTAAACTTCTTCCTGCAGGATGCCATGCAAAACTGCATTTTTCACATCACGTTGCCTTAAAGACCAATGAAACTGAGTAGCTAAGGCCAAGACTAGTCTCACTGTGGTAGGCTTAACCACTGGACTGAATGTCTCTCCATAGTCCAATCATTCCTCTTGACTGAATCCCTTTGCAACTAATCGAGCTTTGTGTCTTGCAATAGAACCATCAGAATTCTTCTTGATTTTAAAGATCCATTTACATCCTACTAGGTTTTTCTGAGATGGAAGAGATATAAGAGACCAAGTATCTTGAGAATGAAGGGCATCAATCTCTTCCTTCATAGTAGTCAACCACACAGATGATTTTATAGCAGACTTATATGTAACCGGTTCAATGAGAGACATATCAACTTTTCCAGATGTCTCTAAAGCACTCAAGAAAGCCTTGTGTTTGACTATACCATTCTTACTCCTAGTCTGCATAGGATGCATATTCAATGGTGCAATGAGTAACACCACTTGTAAACTATTTGGACTAAACTCAGGATCCACAGGGAGTTAAACAATATCACTTGTTGTAGCAGTAATGGATGGAGAAGTAGGTGATGAGGAAAATGAGGGTGATGCAACCATGTTTGGAGAATGAACAACTGGACTAGAGACAGAGACACTAGAGTCAATGATTGGAATAACAAATGGAGAGATTGGAGAATGAGCCTGAGGAATAGGCACCACCAAAATATTCTGATTATTAGAAACTGGTGTGAGAGATGAAAGTTGAAAAAAGATATGTGAAGTATTGGTTTGTTTGGACAATTGGAAAAGACTGAGATAAAGAAACTCAGTCTCATTAAAGAGAGCATGTCTGGAGACAAAAAAAAATTTCTTTTGACACCTCATAACAGATATAACCCTTATATTTGGAAGTATACCCCAGAAAAACACACTTGGTTGTCTTAGCTTGAAGTTTGGATGTGTTGTAGGGTCTAAGTAAAGGATAACAAGAACAACCAAATACTCTTAGATGAGTAATGATAAGATTATGTCCATACAATGCTTGAAAAGGAGATTGATTTTGTAAGACTAGTGTTGGCATCCTATTGATTAAGTAAATCGTTGTTTGACAAGCAAAGGTCCAGAATTAAGAAGGAAGGTTGGCATATTGTAACAATGTGAGAGTAGTTTCAATGATATGTCTATGTTTCCTCTCAGCTAACCCATTTTGTTCAAGTGTATAGGGACAAGATTTATGATATACAATACCTTTAGATTGCAGAAAGGTTTGTAACTTATTACTAATGTACTCACCTCCCCCCCCCCCCAATCAGTTTGTAGTATTTTCACAGAAGTAGAGAACTAAGTGGAGACAAATGCACAGAATGTAACAAACACATCATTGAAATCAGATTTATTGTATAAGGGAAACAACCAACAAAATCAAGTGCACTCATCAATGAGAGTAACATAGTATTTATAACCATCAATGGAAGTACATGGTGCAGGAGCCCAAAGGTCACTGTGAACAATTTGAAATGGTATGACAGACTTGATATGAGTGGAAGGAAATGGTAACTTTGTAAATTTGCCCTCGAGATAGCTTTGACACACAGTGGAAACAGCATCCTTATTACATGGAATATTTGCTTGTTTAAGGAGTAAGGAAACTACATTATTGGATGGATGTCCTAACCTAGTATGCCATAAGCTGGAACCAACAAGATGTCCAAGATAAGCAACATTGGAAGATTTGGAAGGTTGGAAGCTAGTAAAGAATGAGTGGATAGGATAGAGTCCATTACTTCAAGGGCCCTTATACATGATTCTCCCTGTGACCTTGTCCTGAATCCAAAAGTAAAATGCATCAAAAATTAGCCAGCAATTGTTATCCAAACAGAGCTTAAGAACTGACAATAAATTCTGTATCAATTTAGGAACATAAAGAATGGAATTTAATTTGATAGGATTTTTAAAAGTTGTAAGAATGGAACTGCCAATGTGAGAAACTCTCAAACATTCACCATTGACAGTTTGAACAACTTCATTGCTGGGATATGGAGAAGCTATGGACAAATTGTTAAGATCAGTTGTCATATGAGTAGTAGCTCCTGAATCTGTCAACCATACTTGTGGTGACTGAGAGGTAAATGCTACAAACCACATATGTGAATGTTAAGATGTGGGAGAAAAGACAGTCTTCATTGCTTGCAGTGAAAAAGGTTAGGAACCATTTAACACATGAGGAACATTGTAAGAGCATCCCTGCACTGGAGCACCTGCCCGTTGAGAAAAATGAGGTCCCATATAAGAAGGCCCTTTTTCATTGTAAAACAATACAAAGTTGTATGATTGAACTTGCCACAAATTTAACATTATTGTCAGTCAAAAGACTTATTGTAATGATAAGGTGCAGTGTGACCTTCAGCATTACACCGTTGACAAGTCTGCAATAGATGTGCTGAGGGATTCCCAAATTGACTAGGAGATGAACCAAGGATACCAAAAGTAGGTGTAGGCAAGACATGGGTTTGTGTATGATACATTGGCCGAGGAGTGTAGTATCTCTGTCCTCCATTGAACTTGCCTTTACCTTTGTTCTTGTTGGCATACGGCTTGAATCCTCTAGATACAACATATGGCTGACCCCCAGTATGATTATATGAATGACCACCACCAAAGTTAAATGACTGATGAGACATAGGAGATCCTTTGTTCATGGCAGATGAGGTATTGACAATCATCACAGAAAGAAAAGGGACATTAGGATGATTGTCAACAATTGCTTCTTCAACAAGTAGTTGAGACCGGAATTCTTTAATAGTCATAACACTTTCTCGGCCTCTAACAACCGTTTTGAATATATTACACTCCAGAGGCAAACCATTGAGAGCCAGAATAATAATATCTTCATTATCAAGAAATACACCAGCAGCAGACAAATAATCCTTCACTTCTTTGATCTTCTGTAAATATCGAGTTACAGAGTCTGACCCCTTCTTAATTGTTTGAAGATTTAACTTCATCTGAAAAAATACTAGTCTTGGAAACAATAGAAAATTGTTCCTTAAGCCTAGTCCACAAATTCCGAGAACTAGAACTACCAATTGCACATGACATAGCTACTGGGGATAATGTGGCAGTGACAAGCTGCATAAGTGCACGATCATGTAATTTCCAAACAGTATATTCATATGTTTCTGTACCAGATGATGAGATAGCAGAATTAACTCTAGAGTCACCAGAATTAGGTACAAATCGAGTAGGATAGGGTGTTGAGCCATCAACAAACCCCATAATTCCATTACTTTCCAGCAATAATTGCATTTGAAAATGCCAATTGAGATAATTCGAATCATCAAGCTTAACATTGACAAATGAGGAAAGTGTAGAAATAAGAGCAGTAATAGGCGATTGGAGAATTTGTAATTGAGATACAATCACCATATTTGCATAATGAAGATAGAAATTCGAGAGAGGAAATATCACAAACACCTGGTGTGCACACTCTTGGAACACAGATGCAAGAAGATCAATAAATCCAAAAACCCTAGAAATCACATAAGAAATCACAGAAGAAGAAAAGAATACCAGAATCCGTCCAAGCACACAGCAATAAGCTAATGTCGAGGAATAGAAAGAATCACAGGTTGAGAAGATAAGCGGAAGCAATCGAAGAATCGAAGAAAACAGTGGGAGCAACAATCATGATTGA